GCATTCCTGGTGTCCCAGTGGCATTCCCAGGATCCCCACAACATTCCCACGATCCCTGCAGTGCTCCCAGATCCCACGGCACCCCAGTGTGTTCCTGGGATCCCAGGGCATTCCCGGTGTCCCAGCAGCATTCCCGGTGTCCCCGCAGCATTCCCGGTGTCCCCGCAGCATTCCCAGCATCCTTGCAGCACTCCCAGCTCCTGCAGCTTTCCCAGGGCCCCACGGCATCCTGTGGCCCTCCCGGGATCCCCGCGGCATTCCCAGCTTCCCCGCGGCATTCCCAGCTTCCCCGCGGCGTTCCCGGCGTTCCCGCTCACAATTCCCGCTCTCCCGGCAGTTCCGCTCCGTGGACGAGACCACCCAGGCCATGGCGTTCGACGGGATCATTTTCCAAGGGCAGTCGCTGAAGATCCGCCGGCCCCACGACTACCAACCGCTGCCGGGAATGTCGGAGAATCCCTCCGTCTACGTTCCGGGTGCGGATCCCTGCGGAGCCCTCGGGACCCGGATCCCTCCGGAGCCGCTCCGGGATCTGTCTGGATCCGCTGACCTTTTCCCAGTCCCTTGGGCCCTTTTTCCCACATCTGGGATCGTTTCCTTGGTCCCCTGGGTTTTTTCCCGGATCCTCGGGGGGATTTTCCGATTCCTCAGGGACTTTTCCTACTCCAGAGGGGGATTTCCCTGGATCTGCAGCCATTTTTTTCCACATTTTAGAGGGTTTTCCTGCATCCCAGGGCTGTTTTCTGCATCCATGATGTATTCCCAGCTCTTTAGGGATTTCTCTAGCTCCATAGAAGGGTTTTCCTGGGATCCATGGCCGTTTTTCCGCATTCTGGGGTGTTTTTCCCGCATCCACAGCGGTCATTCCCGTTCCTTGGGAATTCCTACTGCAATTTCCCTATTTCCTCGGGGGGAGTTTTCCGCATCCCAGGGATGTTTTCCCGGATCCTGGGGGTGTTTTCCTGCTTCCCAGGGGCTTTTCCCCCCCGCCATTCCCGAAATTCCCGCTTTTCCGGCCCGCAGGCGTCGTGTCCACGGTGGTGCCGGACTCGGCGCACAAGCTCTTCATCGGCGGCCTCCCCAACTACCTGAACGACGACCAGGTGGGAACGCCGGGAACGCCGGGAACGCCGGGAGCAGGGCCGCCCCCCCCAGGGGCATTCCCGGCATTCCCGCCCGGAATTCCCGGCAGGTCAAGGAGCTCCTGACGTCCTTCGGGCCGCTCAAGGCCTTCAACCTGGTCAAGGACAGCGCCACGGGGCTGTCCAAGGGCTACGCGTTCTGCGAGTACGTGGACATCAACGTCACCGACCAGGTGAATTCCCGGCGTTCCCGGCATTCCCGGCGTTCCCGGCATTCCCAGCCTTGCTTTTTTGGTGGTTTGGGACAGGTTTGGGGCGCGAAAATGGCAAAAAGGGGGGGAAACGGGATGGGAAACACCCGCGCACCCCCCTCGGCTGCGTTTGTCCACTAGGTTCCTTCCCGGAATTCCCGGCTCTCCCAGAATTCCAGGTGCTCCCGGAATTCCCCACCTTTTGTTTCGGTGTTTTGGGATGGGGTTGGGGCACGAAAATGGCAAAAGGGGGTGGAAAAGGGGTGGGAAACGGGATGGGAAACGGGATGGGAAACACCTGAGCACCCTCCTCAGCTCCGTTTATCCGCTAGGTTCCTTCCCAGAATTTCTGATATTCCCAGAATTCACAACATTCCCTTGTTTTTGTGCTCAGTTTTGAGCACAAAAATAGCCAAAAGGGTGGGAAAAGCGATGGGAAATGCCCCCCTCCCCCAAGCCCCCCTGTTGCCGTTCCCGGCATTCCCAGAATTCCCAGAATTTCCCCCTTCGTGCTCATTCCCGCTGCATCCCGGGTGTAAAACCTGCCCAGACGGGTCAGGAGCCGCTGACGTTTTTCCCGTTTTCTCCCCGTTTATCAACCGATTTTCCTGTTTTTTTCAC